ATTATTATTATTATTATTATTATTAAATCAAACTTCACAGATTAGCCATCCCCGGGCTCTGGCCTGAATGCCGGGAGAGCCCCTGTTGTAGTGGCAGCACGGAGCAGCTCTCCTGCGATCGCGTCTCTACATTAACGACTTCAGCTGGCGCGGCTCACAGCTCGCTCTGCCGTGTCTCCAGACATCAGCGCGTAATATTCAGCAAATTACACACTGCCAGCCCGGCTCTCCGGCTTGTGACAAAAAAATAGGTTCAGTCATTAATAATCCTGCTGCAAGTGATTACCGCTTTGGGAAGCTAATTACTCTGCACAGGAAATTCCACTTCCATGGGTTTAAAGGGTATCACAGTGCTAATGGCAGAGCCTTCTGACTGACCACATTTGAGCGCAAGGCGACTGGCGCTGGTGGGACCTGTCTAGCGCGGGCTGCGACAGACCAGGGCTGCGCTGCCGTATGGGAAGGGCAGCCTTGAAGAACCGCTCTGAAGCACGGCGATCAAGCGGGTTCATATCTGCCGGTCCTTCTGCAAACAAGTTCCAAAGTTGCCTCTGTTAACAACCCTAAATCTCTCAGGAGCGAAGAGGATTAGTAAAGTAGCTGGATGGCTCCAGAGAGGGATATACTGTATAGATGGACAGCAAAATCTGCTCTCTAAAACTGTTTCTTATTTGGGGATCACTAGAACGAAATGCAGAACATTGTCCGAATATTCATTGACTAACTTAGTCCAACACATATGAATATACATATAGATATACAGTACATTAATCTGATGCAGAGACAGTGTATTACATTCTTATTACTTTTGGGGGTGTAATGATCCATATCACTACCTGATACAAAACCTTTTTAACAAACACAATCATCTCAAGACGAAATGTAACATGTTTTAAAGATATGCAGAGATTAAGTAATAGGTACAGCAAGGTGGTCTACGTGGGGGGAATCCCAGGTTGATGGTTCTTGAAAACAGATCAGCAAACTCTAAAAGACTGGCAGATATACTTGACCCTTCCAAAAAACTTTTTTCACTCCCCTAGCTTTCATTCCCTCAGTTCCCAATTCGTAATGTGATGTTCTGTTCGTTTTTAAACACAATTTTAACAACCAAATTGACACCATTGGTAATGTATAATACGTTTAAAGTAAACCTAGGGGAAAAAAGGTTCAACTTTCACAAAAAAGCTAATGCTGGATATTTTTTAATTATTTAATATTACCATTTGATCTTGAGTGTGTGAGTGAGTCTGTTAGCCGGGTCAGGAGGCGCAGCCGATACTCAATCAATAATAGACAACGACTTTAAATAAAACACTTTGGGTTAGATGGGCAGGGACAACACTGAGGCCTACGCCTCCTGAGGCTTGCCTGTCACTCGGCCTGGCTGGACCCTGGCGTGCGGACAGGGGGAGAACAGCCTTACCTTCCTTCACCATTCCCACACTCAGACACTTCTGAAAACGGCAGTACTGGCACCGGTTGCGTCTCCTCTTGTCCACTGGGCAGTTTTTGCTGGCTAAACAGACGTATTTGGCATTTTTCTGCACCGTCCTCTAAAGATGGAAAGGGAGGGTGAACAAAAAAAGAAAAGTGAGGATGAGGGGGGGTACAAGCGCGTATCTCTCCATTCCCCTTCCTCTGCAAGGAATTAAACAAGAAGCTGGCAGGTCAGATTTTAATTACAATGTGAAAGGCTACAGTGCCATTGGTATAATTAGATAAAATTAATTTCCTAACATGCTAGCCCGCAGGAAAAACAATTTTATTAGCGCTAGCCGCTGACAATGAGAATCAGCGCGGCGCGTGCTGAAGCTGGTCTCAGGAGACAGGCCGGGCTGCGTGATAAAATTATTTCTGAAACTACGGGGTCATCACATGATACCTCTGGGGTTTCCATATCTCGCCTTTTAATATCCCTTTGGGGATCATTTTCTACTCAGCTGCCTCCCGTGATTATTACTGACCTTATTAAAATAAAATAAAAATGATCTGGGTGCACTTCCGGTGCCACTGCTGTTCGAAGGAGAAAAATATGACAACATATAATTGAGTTCTCAACTCTGAGCAGGCAACACGACATAAGGGGTTACAGAGCTAGGGAGAATGGTGCTCCACACACTTGTGTAATTCAGGAGAGAGGGCCATTATACTCCTCACGCTCATTAATTCAATAGCTGCGTTATCACTCCAAGAATCAAGTTACACTGAAATAATAACAAGGCTTTGCATTTATACAGTGTTTTTCATCCGGAAAGATCTCCAAGACCTCACTTTCTAGGGAGGAGGTTACTTGCCTCTCCCTGCCACTGAAGGGCAAAACTTTCGGTTTTTTGCAAGAGGAGAGAAATTCATTTCACTCGGTCTGTCGAACCATCGGGGCGGTTGGGCTAGGCCGGACCGAGGCTTCTTTTTCCGTTCAATCCAGCAAGAAAAGGCATTTTTGGGGAAAATGCGGACAAAAAAAAAATTCCAATCTCGTGCCCCAAGTGTTAAGCGAAAAACAAACCAGGCAGTATATTTGTCACAGGAGAAAGTCATATGATGAAATGAATACGAGTAAAGTTCCAGATGTCTCCGAAAGGTGAAAAGAATTTTGGAATGGGAGGGATAAGGCTAGTCAGAGGAGTTGCTTTTGTGATGCTTTACAAATCTGGAAAAGCTTCCCTCATGGAATTGTATGAACTATAAAATGCACGGCTGAAAGGATACATTTGGTTGTTTTTTTTTCTTATTTCTTACACGTCGGAATAAAAAGGCTCTGGTGTGAGGCTGTGCAATTCGGCAGTGAAAAGTAAGACTGTCTGCAACTGTACTGTAATGCCATTAATCTTTATTTATTTCATTCGAGGAACGAGGACCTCACCATTTACAGCAGGGGGCCTGACCATGACCAATAACTAGCCACAGGGTTATCGAGCACAAAGGCAGCTCTTCACAATGAGCGAGTGAAGTCTCTGTTCATTAGGAGAAAGCTACGGCAACATTTTCTCTTCAAGGGTGTTTATGAAGCCTGAATGTCTTACCCGCCTCAGAAACAGGGCTTAACACTTTCAAATGCCTCTCGTAAACAATTCTTTAACTCATAGAGCTTATATAAAAATACGAGTGTTCTGAACAAACCCATTTCTTCTTAGGATTTGAGAAGTTTGAAAATAAATTGAAATACCATTTCATCCCATAAATTGAATTAAATTAAATTTAACTTAATTCTTACATTTGCAAATTGACAGGACATTAACGACATCTTGAAAAATACAGCTCACTGATTTCACGATGATCTAATGTCAATCTATATTTTTGAAAATGTTAATTTATTTCAGTGTTTTTTACATCCACTGTGTGCTTCCCCCTGGCTTTTATTGTACATTACAGCACATATTAGAAATAATCCCATGTTTTTGAAAGAGTCAGTGAAAGGCTATGAGTGGCCAAGTCACAATTAGTAAGATCATTCAGCAATGATTTGGGATTTTCATGTCAAACTCCAAGTTGTCAAAGGGAAGATACTGCAGTAGGTTTCCATTTGACATCAATCCAGAATCTGCACATTCCAAAAGCTGAAATCCCAGAAGGTTTGGTGTGAGTGAAATCTCACATGAAAACTCTTAATTGCACACAAGGTTATTGTAGTGTATAACACCTGCTGAAACACCAAATTATAATAATAACTATATTGACTAAATCTAATAAAAAAGAAAAGAATCACCAAAAAGAGACGCATAGGCTCATTTCATGTGGAAATTTAAACAGGAAAAAATTGTGTTATAACTGCAAGTTAACATTATAACTTTCGGACTGTTACTAATTCTTATGGAATAAAAATAGTTTGAGTGTGTAACTGCTTCAGCGTGTGTTGAAAAGGAACGAGAAAATATTAATTCCCAGCTGAAAAAAAGAAACACCACATTTCAGTTCACCAGAAGAAGCCTCTACAGCTGAAATGTTTTTTTCTTTTTCCGACTTTTCAGCGTGTAATCAACCTTTACTTGTAATACAAATTATCTCCAAGTATGACTCTTTTTCCAACAAAAACCCATATTGGATTATTGGATCATGCTGTGCATCTTTAATGACTGATTTCATCATTTAAAAATGCTACAAAGCATTAAGACTCCTCAAGATTTTACTTAGAAGTACTTATACAGTAAGTCCTTACAAGTAATAATAAAGGGGTATTAATAAAATAATATGTACTAATATATTTATGTCATCTTTAATAATCATTACAAAAAATAACATATTCTCCATTTATCTTTTGATCAACTTTAACATAAAGTCACTAAAAACATGTTTGCATGTTTAAAGATTTTGGCTTTGTATATTTTATTCAAGTATAATTTAAAATGTTTTGTATATGTTATTAATATGTAAAAAAAATAGGAAACATCACGAAAAACAACTCAAAGATAAACATTTTGAACAAAGTAAAATTGCTGTTATTCATATATAATAAATATGACTACAACCTAACAATATTTAACATCTCAGGAGGCAAACTCATAAAATGCATGTCTTAACAGAATTGGCTTGCAAGTATTTTTTTGTTCAAACATGTTATAATATACTTCTTGTGTTCTAATCTCAAGAATAAAAAGTATTTCAAAATGAATCATGTTAAAAAAGTTGGATCTTTCAATTGTTACATTTTCATTTCAGTACCAGATATTTTTTCTTAGTATTAGGTACATGCAGCATGTAACGTGTAGTGCTTCATGCTTCTATAAGGAATGAAGACGTCAGAAGAAATCACAGATGTACAATATATTTTAAATGTATTTGTAAAATAACACAGCAGCAGTAGTAGGTGTGGAGCAGGACTCACATAGTAACTGGAAGGTTACTCTCATACATAGGGCACAGCTGTTGTCCCTTTGACCAAAGAACTTTACTCAAACCGAATTGTTCGCAAAAAACTGACGTCTTTCTTTGTTGGTCTCTATGCTTAAGCACAGGCCCGAGATGCCCTATATATATATACAGTATAAATCTGTGTATTTGTTTGAGAATTCTGTTATTGCCTCAGTTGATCCCCTAGTACGAACAACCTCCCAGAACAAAAAAACCTTTTCTATAGAAAGATTTCTGGAATACGCGGAACATTTCCCTGGACGTGGAAGGGATTTGCATCAGGAGGTTCACACTAGAAAGATCCTAGTCTCTTCTTCGGCACTGCCGTTCCGTCATCTATCAAAATCAAATATCAGTTCTGTGTTTGGACAGGACTAAAAATGATCGATAAGTCAAAGAAGCCTCCGTTTATGATACCCTGCCTACCCGCGAGTATTTTAATTAGGGCAGTCGGCTTGCTGGACTTCGAGGGGGCTGAATTAATTATTGTTCATGCCCTGCACTCTGCTGAGCTGATTGTTTTAATGACGGGGGCTGGGATGGCGAGGGTCTCTGCCCTGCAGGCAGGCAGGCTGCTCGTTCACGAGCGTCTTCCCCGTCTCTGCTGCCGCGGCGCGCGGAGGAGACCCCGGCAGCCGCAGGCCGTGAAGGGGCACGGATGCGGGCGGCCAGCAGGCAGCGTGTGCGATCGGTGCCGAACACAGGAGGGCGAGGAGAAACCGTGTGCTACAGGAACAGCTTGGCCCTCTGTTGGCACCGTTTAAAAAAAAAAAAACACCAGGCATGTACTACGCCCCAACAGGCAGACCACCCCTCTCGGTGGTTTTGAGCCTCTGAGCCTCGGAACCCAGTTGCATTGGTTGAATGGCATTCGTGGGTGAATACCTGTACATCCACCGACCAATCGAAGTCTCCTGGGCAAATCTCTATCTTTACTTACGTGGGCTTGCCCAGAAAGAAACGCACAACCTTTTTTTTCTTCTGACTCCAATGACTGACTAATTGTTATGAAGACTGTCGGTTACAACTTAGCAACAGGAAGTGGGAAAGTTCAATCCTACACTGAAGCCTCATCGCTTTCCTAATTTCTTGAAAAAGCAAGGTATCTGAATTTGTGGGGAATATGTAGCAACAGATAAGAATACACACTGAAATAGTACAGAATGTATAGGTGGGTCCTTTATGTTAACTCGGTATTTTAGCAGGAGGAGTAATATGGGTGTAATACAAAATACGATATTATAATATTATTATGGAAGTAATAGGACTGAACATCCTACTGTATGTAATCTACCCATCCAATTTTCTAACTGCTTTATCCAATTCAGGGTCACGGGGGAGCAGGAGCCTATCCCAGCAAGCAATGGGCACAAGCCAGGATTCACCCTGAACGGCACGCCAGAAAAATTATATTAATGCTTCAGATAAATCTTTCTTTTTTAAAAAGAAATCCACGTCATTTATATATAGAGAGAGATTCTGCATGGAAAATGTAACTAGATTAAAATTTCTGACCACATTTTGAGGGTATTCAACCGTATCAAGTAGACACAGGTTTTTGCATTTATTGAATAATAACTAAATGATCAGTGAAGTTACAGAGTTTTAAAAATGATCTCTAGTAGGTTCCGTTCACCTTCTTAAAAGCCCTTCACTTTAAAATTCTCTAGAACAGAAAAACTGCAGTTCTACTCACACAAATGTG